GCATGGTAAAAATCAAAGCATCACCTTCTTTCTTTGTAAAGATATAACTTGCTAAACACACTTCGTGGATCACACGATAATCGGCCGAGTTCACTCAATTTTCGTCACTTAACCACAACGAAGCAAACTTTATTCGAAGAATAGTTTTATACCACCAGAACTTTAGTACTGACTGTCTTCTTCAAAAAGGATCACACAGCCGGCTTCTTAGGTACACTCAGCTACCATAAAAAATATTTAACTTCTTCTACAATAAACGGACACGCCTAACATTATTGATTATTATTAAAATTAGTTATTATTTACAGTTGTTACATGTAAATTTAAAGTTTTTTGATTTCGCCTTTTGAAATGAAATTTTATAACAATAACAGTGATACCACTGGTTGCAGCTGCAACAAAAGACCCAATTAGACTCATCAGGATGTGAACATTGCTTTAGGGAACAATCAGACTTGACTATTATTGTAGTATAATTAGACTACGTCAAGATGTTATCCTTTACCTTTAGATTTCACATTCCTTTTGGTAGCATAAGTAGTAGGAGGGACTGCATCTGTATTATTGAATAATAAATTGTCATAAATTATTAATTAAAAATAAATACCTTTAGCAATACCATTATTCACTGTACATTGTCCAACTCTTTCCATTTCTGTAATTATCAATAATAATAAAGATAATAATAATTAAAATTTTACTACGTTTAGTTCTGACACTCCTTCTTGTATCAACTCTATGTGCACCTAAGCATAAACTATAAAATTAATAGCAAAATAAATTATTGTATACTTTGAACACTCTTCTTTGCAGTAGGATAATCAGCTGATTCTATATTAAAAATAATAAAATAAAATAAAAGAATTATGTGACACCTTTAGCACTTTTCTTAGCAGTAGTTGCATTAGCAGGACTTACAGTTGTTTCTATATTACATCAACATTTATAAAAAGCTAGTATATTAATACCTTTAGTTCTAACACTTCCCTTACTCCCCTTAGCAGTACGTATAACTCTCTCTGTTTCTACATAAGTCAATAATAACAATTAAAAACCTGTAACACTTGCGTAGGCAGGCACAATTGTCTTTGTTCAAAAATTGCATAATAGTACCTTTAGCTCTATTGCTCTCTTTGGCTGCAGTACT